TTAAATTCTCTACCACTTACTCTTGCTCAGATAAAAACGTTATGTGCGCATATTGCAACTTTAGGGTGGCAATTTTTTGTTCGCCTTCAAATTATCACTCCTTTCCCACCTACTTTTCATTTTACCAAAAATGAAACTTGCACTTTAGATGTCACTATAGAACTAGGCATAGTTGTGCATCTCAGAAATAAAAAATTATTTAAACTTATGGTTCATCTAACATTTTTTAGGAAGAATTATAAATCATTATCACCGTCTTCATGCATATCCTATCCACAAAGATTTAAAGATGACCTGCACCTATGAGCAAGGTTTCAGCAGAAGTTAATGAACTCCCTACTTATTGGTTACAGCCAACCAAAATCATTGAATCCTGCAAATTAAGAATATCTTTAGCAGTTCTCATTTGAATCATCTTGATAATTCAAGAAAAGAAACGAAAAGGAGTATTCATAAAATCATCACCAAACAGTTTGGATAAGACATGACAATAATCATTAGATTTGACAACTTCTATATCAACAACGACCTACGCTTTATAGTTTATTAGAGGCAAGGCAAAATTAAAAAAATGAACCACATTGTTGACCTCCTTTTTGGCATCGGTCACTTGCACGGTCTTTTCACTTACATTTTGTATGTTGATACACTTGTATGCGCGTTGCACCGTTGCGTCTGGTAAAGGGTCAAGTTACGTATTTTACATCGGTTTGTCGTCGGCCTTAGGATTTACTCTTTTTGATCGCATGTTGTCCTTTATTTTTGTTTTAAAATGTGTGCGGCAGGCCGACAACGATTTGATTTGTAATTTATGTGCATTTGAGCCTTTATTATCATCTTCATTCCGTGCGCAATAATTTTGGATTGGGTTCTCATTTTACGAAATTGATCACGCGAGTGCGTCCGGATCGTCGAGATCTTTCAAACGAGCACTTCGTGCTCGAATTGGGTGTTGTTTGACACGTGTCGAGAAGAAAGAAAAGTGCGACTATTATCATTATTCTTTTTACTATTGTTTAAATTAAAAAAAGAGGAAATAAAATATTTATATATCTTTTATAATTATTTTAAAATTAAACAAATATAATAAATTATGTTTATAATAAAATATAATATATATAATTAAATTTATATCCACTTGAAACCCGGGCCCCCCCCCCCCCCCCCCCCCCCCCCTTATCTCTCCCGATCACAGATAGCCGCAAGCCCCAGTCGCCCTAGTCCAACCTGGATTGGTTCACGTCTACAGCCGTCGGACTAGGGGGGGTGGAACCAAGGGAGAAGGGTGGATGCCCTTGTGGTCCCAAACAATTAATTTAATGTGTGTTTAGGAGGGAAATTTGAATTAGGGGCAGTTTAGGAATTTTGTATTTCTCCTATTGCTTTAATTAGTGGCTAATGCTATAATTATGTTTTCATCTTGAATTGGACTAAAATTTGAGATCTCTTAGGTTTATTTTTTTTAGGCTCTAGCGGCATCTAGAGATTTGGGAGAACTAGATCCTCCTCTCGAATAGAGGATCAATTGTATCTTGCTTTATTTCTTCCATTAGTTTGATTTATTCAATAAAAATTACCGTTTTGTTGATTTTTAACGGGATTTGTGGAGCATTTTGATGTTTTTCATCTACATTGATAGGATTTACTTGAAATATTCAAGTGTTTCCTATCACTATTCAGCACCAAATCGATTTTATACCAGGTGCCACCTTACCAAATCTTCCTCACTACAAGCTGACTCCCAATTAAAATAAAATTTTGCAACAGATTGTGGATGAAATGTCAAAAAAATAACTAATTCAACATAGTTTAAACCCATGTGCAGTCTCGATTTTGTTAGTGCCAAAAAAAGACGGGAGCTGGCGAATGTGCATGGATAGTATATCAATTAACAAGATTACTGTTAAGTTTAGGTTTCCCAGGCCCAGGATGGAAGAAATGATGGAAAGGTTGGTCGGATAAAAAATATTCTCCAAGCTGGACCTTCGTAGTGGTTACCACCAAATAAGAATCAGACCTGCTGACGAATGGAAGACTGCTTTCAAAACAAGAGAAGGCCTCTACGAGTGGAAGGTAATGCCTTTTGGCTTGTGTAACGCCCCGTCGACTTTTATGTGCTTAATGAACGAAATTTTAAAGCCCTTTCTCAATAGATGTTGTGTCGTTTATTTCAATGACATATTGGTTATAGTTCATCCCTTGATAGTCACTTGGAGCATCTAAAAGGTATTTTTGATACCTTGAGGAGTAACCAATTGTATCTTAATATATCAAAATGTGAATTTGCCACGCCAATTGTTTCATTCTTGGGTTTCAAGATTTCAGCAAATGGAATCAGTACTAAACCGCTAAGATTGCATCTATTCAAGGGTGACCGACACCAAAATCATTTAAGGATATTCGTAGTTTCCATGGGTTAGTGAATTTTTATAGAAGATTCATCAAGGGATTTAGCATCCTGATGGCACCCATAACTGATGTTTTGAAGAAAAAATTAGCTGGGAAACTGATCAACAAAGGAGCTTTGAGAGCATCAAATATGCATTAACAACAGCGCCAGTTTTAGCATTGTCAAACTTCAATGAGCCTTTTTTGTGGAAATTGATGCTTCGTCAGTAGGGATTGGTGTGGTGTTAGCTCAAGAAAATAAGCCGATTGAGTTTTTTAGCGAAAAGTTAAGTACAATAAGGCAGAAATGAACAGTCTATGAATAGGAGTTATATGCAGCCGTTACAGCATTGAAATAGTGGGAACATTATCTACTGCAACAAGATTTTGTCATGTGCAGCGACCATAAGGCACTACTGTATATCAACACTCAAAAAAATATCAACCGCATGCACGCGATGGATCATGTTCTTTCAAAAATTTACTTTTGTTATAAGCATAAAAGCGGGGCACAAAATAGAGTGACGGATGCTTTAAGCCGATGAGCCGTTTTGCTCACACAACTGCAAACCGAGTTCATGGGGCTGGATTGCTTAAGGGAATTATATCCATATGATAAGGATTTCAATGAAGTATGGCACAAGTGCATCAGCAAAGAGAATTCAGAGGATTCCTCCATCAGACATGGGTTTCTATTTAAGGGCAACATACTTTGCATTCATAAATCATCCTGGCGGTAACTCATTATAAAAGAAGTGCACGGAGGCGGGTTAGCAGCTCATATCGGCCGAGATAACACCATTTCACAGCTATAGGACAGATTTTTTTGGTCGCACTTACGAAAGGATGTAGCACAGTTTGTGGAACGGTGTTCTATATGCCAAAGCTATAAAGGTAGCGGACAAAATATTGGGCTTTATTTACCATTACATGTGCCGGATTTTATAAGGGAGTATCTAAGTTTAGACTTTGTGTCGAGACTGCCCCGCACACCTCGTGGCAACAACTCGATCATGGTGGTAGTAGATCGCTTCTCTAAAATGGTGCATTTTATAGCCTGTAAGAAGATTTTTGACGCCTTGAACGTCGCTAAATTATTCTTCAAGGAGATCATAAGATTGCATGGCGTGCCCCGATCGTTAACCTCATCGTGACATTAAATTTAAAAGTCATTTTTGACGGGAGCTATGGAAAAGAGTAAAAGACTGAACACACTGCTTCAACTCAATTCATCTTATCATCCACGAATTGACGGCCAAACATAAGTTGTGAATCGGACACTAGGAAACTTACTCCGTTGTTTGGTTCAGGAAAAGCCAAAGCTTTGGGATGATGTGCTGGGACATGCCGAGTTTGCCTTCAATTCAATGCCCAATCAATCGACGAGTACGTGCCCTTTTAGTATTGTCTACACTAAGTTACCCAATACTATTGTTGATATTGCAGTGCTTCCAAAATATACCAACAAGGTGACATTCAACTTGGCCGAGCAATTCACATATATGTTATCTAATGTCCGTTTAAAGCTTTCAACAAACTAATGAAAAGTACAAACAGCAAGCTGACGCACATCGAAGGGAGAAAGTTTACAACACAGGCAATCTGGTTTTAGTGCGGCTGCGCAAAGAACGTCTACCCCCAGGAGCTTATTCTAGACTTAGTCGTCGAAAATTTTGGTCATTCACTGTGCTACACCAAATCAATAACAATGTTTATGTTATTGATTTACCGAGGGAGTTGACCACTTCGCATACCTCCAATGTTGCTGACATATATCCGTGTGACCCACCTAATGACGGCGGGGTTAGTGTTGATTCAGGAGACAATAGTCTTTCTCACGCTGGGGATGAATGATGAGGAGCATATTAAGCTAGCTGACCTACGGAACATTCTATACACATGCTCTCTAAGTAGTTTGTTAGGAATACTCCACTACTACTGCTATTATTAGTGTTTTAGTAATTATTATGCCTTTGCTGCTTTGTTTCTACTTTGGTATTAGGCGGTGAAGGAAGAAACTACTTAGGCAGGAAATACATGAGGAAGGGGCAGCTTTTGTTTTCACTAATTTTCTAGTTAATACTACTCGCAGTAACCTGAGAGTTACTGTTCTATCAAATCTTCTATTTGCTTTTTTCATCTTGCAGATCCCTACATCATGTGTGTAGCATATTTCACAAATAAAAGGTGACAGGATCTTCCTATTTATAGAGCTTCCCATGTCTGAATCTCTACGTTCTCTCTCTCTCTCTCTCTTGTTGTCCACCTATTTTGTTTATAGAGTCTCTAAAGATCTTGCGCGAAGAACAGGGTGTTGCTCATACAAATTTGAATCCAACACAGTAATTAACAAATTCGCCTGGGCCAACCGAGTGGAAATGGAATATCTGTAGAAATATAGATAGGTCTTATGACCTATTCGACCATCTGTATTTTACCTGAATAACATATGTTTAAAAATAAGTGCAACTATGACTAAGCAGCTAAATATTTATCAAGTCATGTGCCTCAAATGGGCCAATCGTAGACTCCCCAACCCAATCAAACTCCGCCACGCATTTCACATTCTAGAATAAACTTATATGAATAACTTAGGGCTTTGCATAACTTACATGTATAAAGTCCGACAAAAAACACGTCGGCAAAGCCGGCGGCGGCCGGCAATGCGAGAGTCGAATAAGCTGCCGAAGCCTCTCCGGCGTCTGCGGCAACAAAATACTCGCTGCCTCCTCCAGATCATCCACCATAAACATCCCTTCCCTCAAATCCTTCTCCTCCAAACACACCCCGGCAGAGATCAACACCACCCTCTCCACCATCGCCTCAAACATCGCCGCAATCCGATACCCGACAAACCCTCCATAGCTAACCCCAACCACCGCCCGGATCCGATTCACCCCCATCGCCTCCATCGCCGCCATGACGCACTCGGCCTGGAAGCTATCACTGCGATCCGATCGGGTTGTGTAGGATCCACCGAAGAATAGAAGGTCCGGGATGTAGAGGTCAAAGCCGGCGTTGATGAGAGGCCGGAGGTAGGAGGACCATTGCCAGTTTGCGTTGGCACCGAAGCCGTGGAGGAGGACAAGGGAGGGACGAGTTTGGGGGTCGGGATGGCGAGGGGTCCAGCAACAGAGGGTGGATTGACCTGCCTGGAGGTGGAGGACGGTGAGGCGGAGTCCGGCGGATATGAAGGAGCGTTTGTAGCACCAGTCTCGATAGGCCGTGAAGCTGAGGCATGGAGACGGAAGTAGCGGCATTTGGCCGATGCCGGCGGCAAGGTAGTCGGAAAATGAGGATAAGGGAAAAGCTGGGGTTTTTTTGTGGAGAGAAGGGAATGTTGAGGTCGTTTTAAACTGGGGAAAGCAGTGGAGCGTACTCTTTCGTGATGCCTTTGATATGCAGAAGGCAAATGTCAGGTGCTCAATTTTATAAAAAAATGGAGACTTTGACGCCTATCGTCCAACCTAGTAACTTCGCATAATATATTTTCTTAGGTTACCGACCCGCCACCTAAAAATTTTGGCAGATAGATGTTGGGATCGACGAATACGTATTGCTCTGAAAGAATATTGGCATTGGCGGAGGAGAGATTGTCACCGGCGGAGTAGTTTTCGTTCTTGATTTTTTTTTTTTCTCTTGTATATAAGTGTATAAAAGTGAGAAAATTTTAATGTATTCATATAATTGAAGTCTAAATAATATCCGAATTCCGCAGGTAATAATTTTCTTTAATGAATACAAAAATATAATAAGGTGTAATATTAACTCAGTGATCATACACGAATTTTAATAATAATAGGATATTTATCATCCAATAATAAATGCATGTAGTTAAACAATAACTAAATTTTATCTAATTGTTGTGTCGTTGAATATTCATGGCAATAAAGAAATATAAATTTTAACATCTTAGCTCCAGCGCACAATCAGATAAAAGATATGGTATATCATTCATAAGAGACACCAGAATTTTTATGTAAAAACTGCTGAAAAACGGAAGAAAATTCAAGGCATCACCTAGTTTAAATGAATCCACTGGTGTTTGCTGTTGATTACAGATGAGTTCCTTCTTGGGAGGAATGTCCTAGTTTGATGTAACAAATATACATCATGTAGAGTGCATTACATGGTAGGATTTGGAATAATCAATGTTGACATGTTCGTATGGTTGGCAGGATTATAGTTACCTAGCAATGTAGGTTGAAAGAACCGTAATATGGCGACGATGGTCGGAAGTGTCACACTTCATGATCTATATTGGAAGAATTACATATATATTTAACTTTAATCATTTAACTATAACTTATCAACAAAAATCAGAAAGAAATATGATTATATTTTTATCCTGCTCGGAGCTTCATATCATATGATCATTACCATTTTCATGAAAATATATAAAACCATGTAATTAGCACATAGCCTAAAAAGTAACTAAAATCTTATGACTAAAATCAATGCAAGACAAAATAAAATAATATGCTATAAATTATATAAAGTATATATGGCTAGGTGGCTACATTTGGATTATCATGGTCATGTGACGAGGATGGAGAAACATAGTCGGGCGGTGATGGACTGGGATCAAAGATGACTGATGAAGCTCGTAAGACCATTATCGACTAATGATGGTTGGAGAACTGAAATAAGGGCAATGGTAATTGAAGGATCATAAGAGGGCAACAATGGTCAACCAATTTTGATTAAGGATGTGGTTTGACAACAATGGTCAGATAATGTTTTAATCATAGAGGTTGGGCAGTAGTTTGATAGTAGCGATTGGGAGGTGTCTGATAATGGTGTTGAGGTGTACCTCTATGATTTTTAGAACATCTGAGTTTTCTTGAATCTCAAACTAGGCTATTTCCCTAATCCTCCCATTATGCGGAGAGTGAGATATATTTTTTAGAGTATCATAGCTTATAAATATAGGCAAAATTTGGAACCCTTATCTGTTTTAACTCAATTTTTTAAAAATTGTATTTTGACCTGCAACAGTCAATAATTTATTCAGAAGTCGTTATAGTCCCAAATCATAAATTATCTTCTTCATAATATCTCCATTGTTGTGTTTTAGTTTTCCTAATTTTTTCATAGATTTTGGGCAGTGTTGAAATTCTTTAAGAAATCGGCACCTAACGGTACAAGTGAGGGTTTTAGGAGCGTCAGATGGCCATTTTGCAAATTGATTTCACTAATTTTTTTTTAAAATAAGATAAGTTATTTTATGAATAATTTTCTATAATTTTTTAAACCCCTAAAATAATTTTATAAGTTTTATACTAAAAATTCATTAGAATATTATTATTATATTATTATTTATAAAATATCTAAAGTCATTAAGTTTAAAGTTATTTAAATTTCCTTTTATCATTTCATTACCGTTAAGAGAGAAAGTTTTTTAGCGTTTTGAGAAGAAAGAGAGGACATAGAATGAAGTAAGCTAGGTTTTGACAGTAGAGCGATTTTTGTCTGTTGACCTAGTTGGGAAATGTGTTTCTCTCGAGGTAGGTTACATTTTGCAAATTTCATATTTTCAATAATTTTGTATTTTTGATATTTTTTTTATTCAATTTACATTTCGGTTACTGAAAAATGACGATAACTTTGTTTTAGTAAAACTTTCACGACTATATATTATAGAGATTGTGATTACGAACATTTTAATATATTTTAAAATTTTTTTGCCGGGTGATTTAAAAGAAATTGCAATTTGAGGTGCTAGTGGGCGACCAATGTGAGATTTTGTTACGCTGGCGCTCGTGGGCAAAAGAGATGTGATTATGTTATGCTGGCGCTAGTGGGCGACCGATGTGGGATTCAATTGAGCTGGGATTCTGTTATACTGGCTAGATTCTGTGACCTAAGTGTTGTTATGCCGGAGCCAATGGGCTACCGAGGTGTGATTCTATTATGAAGTATTTGCTTTTCAATTTATTTTAGTGTTTATTTAATTGTATTTAATTTCAGTGTATGATTCAGCACAATAATCTCAGTTCTTTTAGTTTTAATTTTTAATCTTTGTTTTAGACTACGATAGCTCAGTCACCGTGTTAACTCATTCTTGCTTTTTCTTTTATTTTCAGATCTGGGGAAGGGTAAGGAGCGAGCTTAGTAGTTGGGATAGCAGGATATGATATGTAATATAGGCATGTTTTTATTAATTAATTTTTTTTTTATCCTCTCTGTTGCTCAACATTGTTGTAAATAATTTTCATATTATATATGTTTTGAATAATATATCGAAAAATCATGTTGAGATGCAATTAATAGTGACCATGTGTAGTAAATAAATTGAAAGTTTTGTTTCAGCATTTCTCCAACCAAATATTGGAGAAAATCTTGCCACAATCGGACATGGTACGACTTGTGCGATATCGGGTCTGGTTATGACATCATAAACCTTGTTGTATTGATTTACTTGACCATAAGCCATTATTTCATTATTTAAGAGCTCTTAGGATGTTTGATTTGATGGTTATTGGGGTTGCCTCGTTTAAACACATAATTAGACTCTAAGACTGTTAGATTATTTGGTATCCTAATTAATATCTTGATGTTTCAAATATTTTATCTACGTTGATTTGGACTCCGATCGGATTGTATTTACAGTCAAATGGATCATATAATTAAGAAATTCAATTCTATTATAAGTTTAATGAAATCATAGTTCATATGATCATAAATTTAACTCTACAAGTTTTTCATTTCAAATATGCATAGAAAATTATGACTAATCAAGTCGTTATTTTTTGACGATCATAACAATTTTGAAGTTAAGACAATCACATACAATCATAATATTTTGTGTTAGTGATCCGCACCATTTTATATATGCCATATTTTACTCTTTGGAATGCAAATATTTACTTATATTTTATAAATCTCTCTAATACAATCCAATTGAGAATGCATTGTTTTATCTTCGATAATATTTAAAATATCATGAATAATCTTAATTTAAAAAAGGGGATTTACATATATACCATTATATCATGCTATTTATATATCTAATATCTAAAACTTTAATATTTAATCATATCACTTATAGATTAAAAATGAGTGCAAGAAATGAAATATTAAAATTTATAGGGTGATATGAGTGATAGGAATGAAATATAGTAGTAATATTTTTAATATTAAAATTATTTATAAGTAATAGACATGGAATATTAAAATTTTTTATTTTAGATACATGTAAATAAAATAATATAGCATGTAAATCCCCCAAAACAAAATATACTAGAAAGCCTTAAGACAATTTATGATTTTTTACGTTTTTTATTATAAATTATTTGTTCACATTTTTAATTATACCTTTTTCAATAATAATTAATCTAAAGTTAAAATGTAACGAAGCTTTGGAACAAACCGCTCTAGAAAGCAAACATTATTCTTGCTTTATGTTTACTGTCACCTTCATTGTCATCTGAGGCGGCAAACGCCGCCATAGAATCCGGCGGTGCCAGCGATCTCGATCCACGTTGCCCTCTTTGCTTCCCTTATTCTCTACGCAGCCCTTCGCCCTTTCGCTCCTGCCTTTTTCCCTCGTTTCCTTCATAGGATTTCAGCGGCCTGTGCCCTCATAGGGAAGCAGGAGAAATGCGGACTGCTAGGGCGATAAGTTGGGCTGTTGAGGCCGACGCGACGGTGGGATTGGTGAATGCGATCGCTGGAAAGGGATTGCAGTGGTGGAACGAGATTAACGAATCGGATGAATGGCAGCGATGGTTATACTATACCCTGTGTGGTTGTTATTGCTTTACATCTCTCGTTGCGCTGGTAATCTCATTTGTTTCCCTTTTGGGGTATTTCTTGTATGCTGTTTTGCCAGAGTTTTGATAGGGTGGTGGAAGTACCCATTGTCGATTAAACTGGTGGGTTTTTTTTTTTCGGGATTAAGAGGAAGAATTTGAGGGACCTGGGGGATTAGAGATTCTATTGGAAGTTGATTGGTGCTTTTCAATTATTATTATTATTATTTTTGTCTGGATAGGTAGGGCATGATTTGGTTTAATGGTGGAATTATTCCTTATCTGTTGTTGTATGGACTGAATAAAAATGGGGATTGTAATATGTTGATTAGAAGAATTTATGGTTTTTGATTGAAATTCATTCCTGCCTTTTTTACTTGATAATTAGTTCACGTGTACAGTCTGATTTAAAGTGGAGGGCAGAAAATAAAAGAAAGGATTTGTATTCTTTTATTTTTAACTGGAGGGTATAATAAGTAAAAGAAAATTATGATTCCATTATTGATTAATAGTTAAAAAAGAGAATTAATATTACAATTAATTGGACGCATATATATTTTCCTTTTGTTAGAGCAACGATTATTTGGCTGTTATAAAAAATATAATTGTATGAATTTCTTTCCCTCCACCTACCTGTGTTTTTTGCAAAAACCAAATCCTTTTAACATTGCCGTGATTCCCCTCCTCACTTTGCTTCCTCAATCATGCTTACATGTGAAATCTAAGAGGAGAGGCACAATCTTCCGATCCCCTGCTATAATTGACCAAAGGTTATTTCTGTTAGAGCAAATATTTCTACAATTTAACTTGAACCTATGTATTGTGCTTCCAAAATATTGATAATTATTTGTCAGATGGATCCACACATTCACAGGGTCGTTGTAACAGTTGGAATGGTAATTACTAATTAGACATCTAGTCTTCCATTGTAATGATCTAACCAACGATGGAATAATCATGAACTACTAAAGGGATGAATGATGATTTGTCCATCTGCCTGTACATTCCATGGATTTTAAAGGAAATTATTGTAATCTTGCTAACGATAGTTTTGATATAGAGAGAATGTGATGTGGCCATCCAGGTCATCCATATGACCATTCGACCTCCACGCCATTGCTACCACACACCTGCTGCTAACGGTCCATTTTCTTTTCTGCCTTTTTGTTATATTTAGTACTGTCCTTTTTATAGTCTGTCTCCATAAATCAAGTAATTAGTAGTAAGTAAGCTTTAGACTCATATAAGCTGTAGTGAAGGAGAAGTAAGGGGCATAATACAAAATTCTTCTTCGGTTATTCCATTTTACTGTTCCATTGAAGCTTTGTTCAGGTAACTTCCCGCCGGCGGCTACATCAGTTTTGGTATCAAAGCTAGGTTGGCGCATTCATGGCGGACGGAAGTAACCACCCCCGACCCGACGGCGATCGGAGTCTTGATGCGTTGTGGGAAACGCACAAACAAACATCCAGGCAATTGGACGAACTGGTTAATGCCTTCGCTCGATTCACATACGAAATGCGGGATGAGATGAGGCAAATTAGGACGACTGCAAATCCAGTAGCACGTCCCATTGCACCGACAACCTTACCGGGGCATCACCTGCAGGCGCGAGCTAGACCAGTGCAGAGGAGGACAATGGTCGGACTTCCAGATAGTTCGGAATTTGAAGACAGTGAACACATTGCCAATGAGTTGTTCGGTACCGTCGAAGATGGTCGTCCGCATTGGCCTAATAGAAGGAGACGGCATCAGCATTATCACCCTGAAAGTGAGCGAGCTCGAATTAAGATGGATATTCCATTCTTTGATGGAAGACTCCATATAGAGGATTACTTGGATTGGGAAGGTGCAATAGAGAATTTCTTTCAATATATGAAGATTAATCTAGATAAACAAGTAAAGTATGTGGCATGCCGCCTCAAAGGGGGAGCTAACGCATGGTGGATGCAATTGCTCCAAAGTCGGCAACGTGAGGGTAAGGGAATCATTCGTAGTTGGAATCGAATGAAGCAATTAATGAGACGACACTTTCTCCCTACCGACTATGAGCAGCTACTTTACCTTCATTATCAAAATTGCAAACAGGGGGCTCGATCTGTAAATGAATATACTGAAGAGTTCTATAGATTGAGTGCTCGCAACAATCTTTTGGAATCGAAAAATCAACTAGTGGCGAGGTACATCAGCGGATTAAAAGAATCACTTCAGGATAAATTGGGACTCAATTATGTGTGGTCTCTCTCTCAAGCCGTTAATTTCGCCTTGAAGGCAGAAGTACAGTTGCAGCGATCCGCTCGACCCTATGTTCCTAAGAGAACCTTCACAGATGGTAATTATGGAGCTGCTAAGGCCAGTTCGTCGTCCCCAAGAACTCCTCAAGCCAGCGCCCCGCCTGTTGGAACACAACAACCGGAGACCAGAGGACAATTCAAGCCCAAGGCTACTAGCAGAGACAATCCTTATGCCAAACCTTCCACTATTAAATGCTTTAGGTGTTTACAGCCTTGTCATAAATCTAATGAATGCCCTATGCGCCATCAGATACAATTGGCCGAAGCCAATGAGGACTTCGAACCATCGGGAGCATTAGATGAAATTGAAGTTCTAGTGGAAGAGCTATCTGCAGACGAAGGCGAGCCTATCTTATGTGTTATGGAGAAGGTGCTTATAGCCCCAAGTAAAATTGTGGATACTCAAAGAAACAACTTGTTTCGTACTAAATGCACCATTAATGGGAAGGTATGTGATTTGGTGGTGGATAGCGGATGTACTAAAAACATCATTTCTCGAGCTGCTGTCCAAGCTCTACAGATCAAGACTATCCAAAATCCGAACCCCTTCAAGATTGGTTGGGTTAAGAATGGAGTAGATTTCCTTGTTTCAGAACTATGCAAAGTTACATTCACCATCGGCAAGAGCTATCTCTGCCAAGTTACATGTGATGTCCTTGATATGGACGTATGCCATCTCATTTTAGGTATGCCCTGGCAATATGACAATGGAGCCATACATGACGGCCGAGCCAACACGTACACCATAGAGTGGAAAGGGAAGAAGCTGAAATTAGTTCCGGCTAATCAGACTCTTGGTAAACCATCTTCCAACAACCTGATAACAGCTCAGGTGATATCCGGACATGCTCTCATACAAATGAAGGAAGCGAATTGCCCAATGTTCATGTTGATGGCTGGAGATGCAACACCGGTAACTCCTCCTATATGTCACTCCGATGTTCTTAAACTGCTTGATTCTTTTGCAGATGTTATAGCTTCCGAACTACCACCGTCTCTACCTCCACTGCGAAGTTTGCAACACCAGATCGAATTCATTCCGGGTGCAACCCTTCCCAACCTACCTCATTATAGAATGAGTCCTCGTGAACACTCAATTCTTCAGGAGATCTTGCAGGAATTGTTGGCGAAACAATTCATTCAACCTAGTATGAGTCCTTGCGCTGTTCCAGCGTTGATTGTACCGAAGAAGGATGAACAGTGGCGGATGTGCATTGACAGCAGAGCCATCAACCGCATCACTATCAAATACAGATTTCTAATTCCTAGAATCAACGATCTCCTTGACAGGCTTCATGGGTCCGAGATCTTCTCCAAGCTGGATTTAAGGAGCGGATACCACCAGATACGCATTTGCTCGGGTGACGAATGGAAGACAGCATTCAAGACCATCGAGGGCTTGTTTGAATGGAAAGTTATGCCTTTTGGGCTCTGTAATGCCCCCTCAACTTTTATGAGACTAATTAAGCCTTACTTGGACAAGTTTTGTATTGTCTATTTTTATGATATTTTGGTATACAGTGTTTCGCTTACATACCACTTAACACATCTAAAGCTGATTTTAGAAGCTCTCTGTGATCATCAACTCTTCCTCAATTTAGCTAAGTGCCACTTTGCAGTAGACAATGTCTACTTCTTGGGCTTTGTCCTAACTCCGTAGAGCGTTCATACAGATCCGTAGAAGGTTGCCGCGAACAGAGATTGGCCCGTTCCTAAAACCGTGACAGAAGTTCGTAGTTTTCATGGGTTGGCCAATTACTATCCCCGCTTTATTAAAGGCTTCAACAACATCATATCCCCTATTACCAACTGTAAAAGCAGCCGCATTCGCGTGGACAGCCGCACAACAAAGGAGCTTTGAACGCATTAAGACGGCCCTCAGTTCCGCTCATGTACTGGCATTCCCTGATTTTGATAAGCCATTCCAAGTGGACACAGATGCTTCGGGGATCGACATAGGCGCTGTGTTATCGCAAGACACCAATCCGGTTGAGTATTTTAGTGAAAAACTAAGCACTAATCGGCAAAATTGGTCTGTGTACGAACAAGAGCTATACGCCGTCGTCAGAGCTCTCAAACAGTGGGAGCATTATCTTTTGCACAAGGATTTTGTTCTCTGTAGTGACAATCAAGCGCTACAATACATCAACAGTCAAAAGAACATCAACCGTATGCACGCGCGTTGGATAGTCTTCTTCCAAAGATTTAGTTTTGTGATCAAGCACAAAGCCGGGAAAACCAACAGAGTAGCGGACGCCTTAAGTCGTCGATCAGCTTTGTTGACTCACCTCCACACCGAAATTACTGGGCTGCAACAACTGAATGAGTTCTATGCTGATGATAAAGACTTTGCACAAGTGTGGAGTGCTTGTGTAGCTGGACAACCCCAATCTGACTTCACACTGCAACAAGGTTTCTTGTTTAAGGGTAATGTGCTATGCATTCCAGATTCTTCATGGCGTCCGCAAATCATTAGAGAGCTCCACAGCGGGGGTTTGGTTGCCCATTTAGGAAGAGACAAAACCTTGGAGCTTATTCAGTCTCGTTTCTATTGGCCGTTCGACGGGATGTTACAAGGTTCATAAAAAAGTCCTTTGTTTGTCAAGTGTACAAGGGAAATGCTCAAAATACTGGTTTATACACGCCATTACCCACACCGGATTCTTTTTGGTAAGATCTCACTCTCGATTTCGTTTTGGGTCTACCCTGTACAAAACGAGGCTCAGACTCTGTC